GGAGGAGGAGGAGGAGGAGTAGTAGTAGTAGTAGCAGTAGCAGTAGCAGTAGCAGTAGCAGGAGCAGTAGGAATAGTAACCGCAGCAGCATGATGTAGTCGTCGTCGCCGCGGCGGTGGCGGCGGTGGTGGTCCTGGTGGCGGTACTGCAGAGATCTCTCCCGTAGTTAATTTTCTGGTTGTTCGGTTCGGGAAAACGAAGGTGAGGATGGATGGAAGATCACCGTTTCTGCGGCGCAAGGAACAAGTAAAACGCCTTACCGAGCCTGGGTCAAGTTTCAGCAGAACTCTCAGCTTCTCTCGAGAGAAATCCATTCCAAAAGAGTTTGGGTTTAGCCTCAACCTAGACCCAACACCCTGGATCCAAAAGAACTGAAGACCCAACATCTCTTGAAAACTTAGGGGCATTTGCCTACTTGAACTTCTGTGGTGGCAGCCCCTACAGCAGCTGCTGGTCCAGCGACGTCAATGTTTTCTCCTTCTCGTTCCAAACCGCTGGTGCCAGGTGTTCTGAGTTTTTTCAGCTTCAGGGTTTCATGGTAAGAAGGGCGTGGGAACAGGGAGGACATATGTTAGGATTCTAGGACTCTCTAGGGGTTCAGAGTTTAGTGCTGGTGATTTGGGGTTTAGGGTTAAGGTTTTGGATGGTCCTAAGTCTCCACCAGAGCGAGCGACTTGACGCTCTGTGAGAGTGGAAGTATCATAAGCTCAGCAAAACCTGCGATGCAGCAAAGCCGCGGCAACCTCAAACCCTGAGCCAACAGCCCCGAACCCACATCCCGATCCCCACCTTTTCGACCTAAGTGTTTTCCAGATGAAATGGACGGCTGTCAGTAGTAGCGTCGTTTTGTGTTTGTTACGTTAAGCCAGGGCCGCAGCCGATCATCATGATCAAAACCTCCATGCCTGTTTAAAGGGGACCATCATTTTGAGCAGTCATCAAGCCCTGAGGGCATCTAGATTCACGGAAATCACGAAAGGTTCCCCCAAGCCTTAGACCCTAAAGCCTAACCCCTCCTAAGCTGCAAACTGCTCACCCTAAACCAAGAATAACTGAGCCCTACAAGGAAGCTCCAAGATAGAGGTGGAGATATGAAGTTTCATTTATGAACTGACTTTGCTTACTGCGCGTTACCAGGGAATGAGAGAACATATAAGTATAAGGGATTATATAGGGATATATTCCCGGATTCCCTGCCACCCACCAGTAAGTGTGGCTCTTTTGGGATGTTGCATGGATTAATTCTATTTGTTCATGGCTTCTACTGGCAGGGCAGGGGGATTATGCGCGGATTGCCGGGATCGCAGAGGATTTTATTTTTTGCCACACTGCATCTTCAGGCATAGCAGAGTTTTTTCCCTCAGGATCTTCCAACATAATCGGTTCCGCCTTTTTTCTGGGGTCTGGTAAAACCACAAGTGCCCCTGAAGCTGAAAGCTTAAACCCCGACCTTTGAATCTTGAAGCCCTCCCAGTCCCTAGCGCCTAAGCCCCAAGAGCTAAACCCTGCTCAGCAGCCCCCAGACCAAGCCAAAAACGGTGCATAGAAAAAAATCTTGAGCTCTCAGCCCTAAACCCTGACTATAAACAAGAAAACGCTAAACCCTAAAACAACAAAATGAAACCCGAAACGCTGAACATACAAAAAGAGCACCCTAAACCCTAAAACATAAAGAAGAACACCCTAAAAGCTAAACATAGAAAATAACACCCTAAACCCTAAACCGCGTGACTCCAGGGAGATGGGCGCCTTCGTGAAGTTGCTCTTCTGGACTGATGGAGGCAGCATCCTCGGCCTTGTGCCCCCTAAGCACGCCAAAGGCACGGAAGGGCAAAATCACAGGGTTTAGGGTTTAGGGGTTTAGTGGCTAGGGTCCAGGATTGTAGGGTTTGTTTGGGCGTTTGGGGTTAAGGGGTTGGGGGCTCTTGGGTTTAGTGTATAGGACCCCTAACCATGAGTCTAGGGATTGAAATTCGTCTTCAGTAGTCGAGTCTTCAGTAGGTGGGGTTTGAACAAGTCTGACGCGTGGCAGGACTTAGGGTCGGGAGTGAGAATCTCTTGCACGAGCATTCTCGTCACATAATGCGGAACTTAACTGAAGAGTGATACTGGAATCAAACTGGGGAGCGAGCAAGATCTTGTCTGCCTGAGGATTACCTTACTTGCTGTAAGATCTACATTGTGCGTGCATTCTGCCAAAATACTGTCCATGGATTCGCCAGAGAAGGATCCGCTTTGGGGCTGTGGTTATGTAATTTTGAGACAAAGCTTCTGGGCTTCTGATTCTCTTTGCAATCAAGCGAAGCCATGCTCAAGCGCTGAATCTCCCGCACATTATTGCGTTTGCTTTTGTCATGATCTTGGTTTTGGCTTTCACTACTATTATCTTTTCTGCTGCCAGTACAGTATTGCTTTTGCCTTTTGAATCAGAATAATGCTCATGACTGCAATGATCACTATTCTTACTACTGCCGCTATCACGAGCCAAACAAACAAAAACATCTCCGGCGCCCAGCGAAGCATGTGTGGATATTTCGCAGCAGCAGTACAGGCTCGGGCAAGCTACGCTTGGTGTCCTTCATGTCAGACGACTACCCGAACAACTGGCAGGATGAAACCGAGGTGGAAGATGGTGTCTGGTATCACGTGACAGCCCTCCGCCTGCAACATCAAGTATGCATTTTCTTCAATATGTATATATGTACATACATATGTGTTTACACACATGTGGCTTGTTTGCTTAGACACAATTCTCCATCATTTGGGCTTGAAGAGCATCGCCGCAAGAACCCCGCAAGCAAGGTGACATTCTGGCCACCGAACAGCGCCGTGGAGGTGAAACTGCAGGCCTGGGAAGCGTTTGCTATTTTGTCCACTGAGAGTTGTGTCTCAGGGGAGTTTTCCAACATGAGGGGACCACAAAGGTGTACACATCATGCGTGGTTCTTTATGCAGAATGCCACACCTGATTTTGGCAGAACCCCGATGTTGCACCAACTGAGGGCGTTCCGTTCAGCGGCGGGAGCATTCCGGTGAACATGCTCGGGTCGTCGAATGGGCCACAGCTGGGCGTCTACTCCTTCGACTATTCGGGCTCATGGCCAAGTGCCTCAGCCTTTCCGCTTATGAGTTTTCGCAGATGGAGAGCCCTTTGAAACCCCAGTTTTTGATTGTTTGGGAATTAGTTTCAGAAACTCCCATGTATGAATACCTCGGTATGCACCAATCTCTCGCATGTTTCGCGGGACTTGGTCACGATCCGAACATTAGTCATGACAACACCAGGACTGTGAGCCTGTATGCCGACATCATGCTACGATCCTTGTTAGGGGGACCCAAAAGGGGAAGCTTTAGCAATGAGCCAAGGAGGGGCTTTTGTGGGGATTATCTATAGGACTACTAGGGGTTTTTAAGGCGAATACGAGGAACTTGAGACTGTTGCTCAGGTAATGGCTTTACATTGTGGATCAACCATCCCTGCGTTGGGCAATCCACGTGCAGCCCTGCCACCACCAGTGCTATGCCCACCACGACTACTTTGCCCAGTGACGTGGCCGACTGCAGGGGCGAAGTGTGAGCAGAATTTATTTTGATCTGCATTTTTTGCAATAGATCAGGGTCCCATCTTGGTGGTACTGAGGACTAGACAGTAGTATTCAGGCATACAAGGGGGGCTTCTGTTGCTTCTGTTGTTGAAAATGCCCATCGAATTGAAGGGTGGGACGGTATCCAAGATCTGGGGAGGCCTGAAGAATCAGCACACTGGGACTTTGTAGCAGTGATATCACGTGTATGCTTTACAAGCCCAAGCAAGTGAGTGCCTGCAACAGAGAAACCAAGCCTCGCAGAAGAAGAGTCATGGGAACATTGTGTAAACCACATCCTTGATAAAGGGTGTGATGTGATGTATGACCATTTGCCATGCAGGGTTACATCACCACCCTCAACCCTCAACCCTGAGCCCTAAGCCCAATTAGCCAACCTAGATCCACGCTGAGGCACCACTGGCACTGCGCCAGCAGGATGCTCCCTCCCCAGCGGCATGCAAATGGGAAGCCCAGTGCCCCAGCCAGGGATTCGGAGTAGGGTTTAGGGTTTTGGGTACAGGGAACAGGGTTCGGCGATTCAGGGTTTGGGATGGGTTGTAAGTGAAAGCTTTCTGAAAACAGCGTGGGTCCTATTCAGACTCTTCAGGTTGGGGATTCGCTAGATTTAGGTTTACTGTTGCAAGCTGCTCTTTCGGTAGATGTCGCATGCTTAGGATTTACTGATGAGTAGCTTGTTGAGTTTCCACTTAGTAGGATTTGGGGATTAGTAGGGAATGAGGTAAAAATACATCACACAGGGATGATTTGGGGATATATTCCCCTAATCCCCAGTAAGCTTAATAGGATCCCCTATATAAACCCCATACAACCCCTATCTAACCCCTGTATAACCCCCTACTACCCCCAGTAAGCTTAAAAGGATCTCCAATCTGCAGTGATTTCTGGCTTCGTTTCGGATCACCAGGTTGAAGGAAGCAGCAAGGGATCCAAAAGGCTAGCGAAGCTGCTCCCAAATCCTAAAGTTTCGGGGCTTAGTGGGGGACACGGGAATATACCCTCTGTAGGGATTATGTGTGGAACATAGTCTCTTATTCCCTACTAGCAGCCAGTAAGTAAGTGTCCCTGCACACTCCATATTCCCAGGCGTGATTTTCTCTCATTGAATATCTGGTGTATGGTCATTTCATTTGAACGTTTTGTATGTAGCCATTGCTGGTTGGCATCCTGTACAATCCCCAAGTGGCACTGCATTGACGGGGAATGAGTGGGCATCAGAACTCCCCATGCCTTGGGGAACTTTATGGAGTGGGTTTAAGGTCTAACGGGACCACTCTGCTCCAGAAAAATCACCCTAAACTCCGAATCCGTACACCCACCCTGAGGTTTAGGATTTAGGGTTTAGGGTTTAGCGTTTAGGGCCCGAGGCTTTGGGGTTTAGTAGCCAAAGTTCAGGTGGACAGGCGTGGATTTGCATATGAGCACGGCAAGCTAAAGCTTTCGGGCGCACAGCTGGTGAACCTGCGGGGCGATGCTGTGCAGCTGCTACCTGCCTGAACTTCATTGGCTAGGAGTAGAACAAGCGGAAGTAGTGCTTGCAGTTGTAGTTCTTCTGGAAGTAGAGATGGAATTGGAAAATGGTCGAAGTGGGAAAAGGTAGCGTCGAAGAAGTACAAGTAGAAAAGACATTTAGAAGTAGAGGTTGTAGCCGTAGTTGTTGTCATTTCCATCAGAATAGGAGAGGTCAGAAGAGCAACATGGGATGATAGGAGGGGCTGCGCGTTTTGGAAACCCTAAACCCTAGTCAAATCGCACAGCTGAGGAAGGGCATGTCGACGCATGGCCTGCATTGGTTTCCAGACTGCCACTGGGCTTGACTTGTGCTCGAATTAGATTGAGTTAGATTACATATAGGGGAGTATCCAGGGATAATGGAAAAGAACATGGAAGTAGTATAGAGGAGATTACATAGGACAATGGAAGAGAGAATAGAAAGTACTATAGTATACAGGGCATTATATAGGTTTAATGGAACAGAAAATGGAAACTACTATAGTGCACAGGGGATTATAGATGGATAATGTGTCTAATTGTCTAAGTGTCCAGTGCAAGCTCAACGCAGTGCATTGTTGATCTTGTTGTAGTGGAGCTCTCTTGCAAGGCTACGAGAAGGGCATGCTGGAGCATTTGGTTTCCAGCTGGGGCATCACTGTGTTCCGTGCAGCAATGTACATCGGTGAGGGAGGCTACGCCTCGGACAAATCAGCTGGGCGCTCAGAATCTGAGACAGTTATTCAGCATATGGGAAGGCAGCAGACGGTGCCACGTTGTAAGTAAGGTGGCTCAGCTTGTGGATGAGATTGTAAACTGGGGCGAAGAGTTTGGCGTCTATATCATGATTGACTGGCACGCCCAGGGCTCAGGGTATCCATGCTGTGGTGCTGTCAGAACTTACAGCCAATCTCTCACCCTGATGTTGCGAGGTTCTGACGCCGGGGGATCCCAACCACTGGCTTACTGGTACAGGTGTATCCCAAGCGGATGCAGCAGCTTACTGGCGAGAAACAGCTCTCAAGTACAGAAGCAAGACCCACGTTCTGTATGAGATCTGCAACGAGCCGAATGGTGTCAACTGGCCTACGGTCAAGTCCTACGCTGACAACATCATCTCGGTGATCCGTGAGGCAGAAGAAATCACTGTTCATCCTGTGCTGCATCGGGCACATCTGAGGGGTGCACTCGTGAGGTCGACCCGGATACGATTATCATTGTGGGCACGCCTACATGGAGTCAGGCAGGACACCTCCGAATTGTTCAGGGTGTAGGCTTAGGCCTTGCGTCTCAGGACATCCATGAAGCTGCAGCCAATCCGGTACAGATGCCCTACAACGCCTCTTGACTGGTCTGGGGCAGGGGGGAATTTGTCAAAGTTCGCCATTTGGTTACAGTCCCCCTTAAGTAGATACAATATGGCTTTGGGTATATAATAAGATCCCCATATACCCCATATTCTATTTATTTAAGGGGGACTATATCCTGAAGAAGGATCCCTTTGCAGTCCCGGTGCGTTGCTCAGATCCTTGTGATTATCCCCATGCTGAGGAACCCCAAAGGGAGTTTTCTTTCAACTCACAGGCGGTGGGACTTGATGTATGGGCTGGAAATGGGGGTTTCCCAAAATTAGAGGTACCATTTTAGGGGTCCCAATAATAAAGACCATAGTATTTTGGGTTCTATATTGGGGTCCCCTTATTTTGGGAAACTACCAAATACTGCACCTTCAACTGCATGTGGCTGAAGCAGAAAATCAGCAGGACTTACTCATATGTGCTATGGCTCCTCTCCGAAGAATGCGGTTGGCTGCAACAAGCCCCAATGTATCACTTTAGTGGTTTTTCAATCCTTGAGAATTGTGACCTAAACCCTGAATGCCCTAGACCTTGGATATTGCCCGCGCTCAGTAGCAGATGGAGAATATGTATAAGATAGTCATATGTAGCCCTGAATGTGACCTGTATTGTAGACGGTTACTGGTTGGGGCAGAACCCAACATAGACCAAAAACCTTCATCCAAAAACTTTAATCCCTAAACCCAAAACCCTGACTCCGGTCGAAAAGAGGCGCCTCAACCAAAAAACAACAACTCAACTTCTAATTCCTGAGTAAACCCTCAAGCCTTAGCCTGCAAAGGTCATGTATGCCTTTCACTTCTACGCGGGCACGCACAGCTTCCTCCTACCTCGGCTGCGCCAGTAACTTGGAAGTTTGCCTAGCTGGGGGGGCTTCTCAAAACTCAGACACATCTCTGTCCGGCCTTCAAAGTGAACCCTAAACCTTAAACCCTACACCCTAAAACCCTAAAACCCTAAGTAGGCAATAGGTTCTAGGTCCTAGGCCTTTGACTCCAGGCCGGCAAGTGTCTTATCTTAAGAAAGGTATTTGTAGTAGTTATAGTACTTGCAGTACTAATAGCAATCAGGTCTAGGGTTTAGGGTTGTAGGGTTTATGGTTTAGGGTAAAAATCCTAATGATATTTGTCATGTGAGTGGTCTTGGCCGGGTATATATATACATATTTATATGCATATATACATATACCTAGCATATATGTATATGTAGATATGGATGTAGATGTATACGTATTTATAGGGAAACGTAGAGGGAAGGTGTCTTCCAGCAGAATATCCTCCTGAAGTGTCTTATGTTTGGATCATAGTGTGCAGTCCCACTCGAAGACTCCTACTTGAAGCGTACGCGCTAACGACTTTGGACTACAACCTATATACTCCCTCCCTAAACCCCAAACCCTTATTCCCTACTAAGTACCAGGAAATGTGTCCATTAAGCTCATAATCCATTTGTCCAAGAGCCCAAAGAAGCTGAGACCTTTGAAATTCTGAGGCCTGACTGTACGTGAGCTATAGTCTAAAGTCCTTAAAGGGGGGTTATATAGGGGATTATATTGGGTTTAGGGTTTAGGGTCCAAACTCCTTAAGGGGGGTTGTATAGGGCATATAGGGCATTATTTAGGGGACTATTATAGGGGTTATGAAGGAGGATACTCGGAATTTAGACCAGAGCTCATTTTTATGTGAGGCGTTCAGGGCAAATCTTGAAGTCCAATCAACAATTCTATTGTTGTTGGACTCTCAACTACATGCACGTGTTGTTTCCGTAAATCTGTGGAATACAGGTCCAGGCTAACTCCCGCGTCTGCTCCCCTACGAGCTCTATAATCCTCAGATGTGCCTTTCTCGTCCCTTGTAGAACAGATATGTGCTGACTCTTGACTCGAGGCCCCTACCCTAGAGCTCCACTGCCTAGGATTTGTGAGGATCCCCCAAAACCAGGGGTATCTTGTTGGAGGGGGTCCCCATACTGAGGATTATTGTATTTTGGGGTCAATATTGGGTCCCCCTGTTTTGGGAAACCACCAGGCAAAAAGCTTTTTATCCGCCCTGAAGTTCTGATCCTACTGCCATCACCATATCTATTCAGGCTGGTGGCTTGATTCTCACCAGGAGCATACTGAAGGCTCACTGGACGTGGTTCTCATGTCTATGTTGATCACTTTGCATTAGGCGCCACATCATGATGAGCATTGTTGTCTTTATTACTCAACCTCCTTGATGCAAAGCCCTCAACCTCGAACCGTCAGCCCTTAGCCTTCAAATATCAAGGTACGAATCACGGATCCCTTGGTACATACTCGCTCCATGGCATGCCTTTATGTTCCTCATGAAAGGATGCTTGAGGTAAACTCGCCTTAGCTGGAACTCCAAATCCTCAAATATTCCAGTCACCGACATTTTGGAAGCTCCCATATACTCCCAGAAATACAACCGCAACCCTAAGCTAGAAATCCCATATATACTCCCAGAATCAACCCCAAACCCTAAGCCAGAAATCCGATATGATGCAACCCCAAAACTTCAACCCTAAAGGCCAAATCCAGAAGGTACGCCTTGCAGGTCATCTTCAAGGCTGACAGCCGGAAACACCCATGTACATACAGCCTTAAACCCTAAACCCTGAAATCCCTAAACCCTAAAACTCCCAAACCCCAAACCCTAAATCCCAAACCCTAAACCCTAAACCCTAAACCCTAAAACCTCCAAACCCCAAACCC